CAACTAAAGTTCAAAACATGTTAGCTGGACCCCATTTATCACGCTGCTGTTCTTCTGCTGCTTCTTTAATGTTATCTGAATTCTAGCCAAGAACATGACTGCCACTCCTGGGCCTATCTCATTCCAGATTTACCTCCAGGAAGAAAGAGAGGAAGTCACTTCCTCAAAAATTTAAGCAAAAGTCCAGGAACTGAATTTCTTATTGGCCTAATCTAGATCTCACATTCATCTCTGAACAAAGGACTGTGGGCAGACACAGGCAAAGCACTAGATTTCTTGGTCTAGAAATGGTAATTCATCCCCTTGGGCCTGGAGGTCAACCTTGTGGAAGAAGGCCACTTAGGAACTGGTGATCAGGAGACAAGAGTGTATAAGTGAATGGACACCAGGCAGCAGAAGCCAAGGACTACAAGTGATTTGCTCAAAGATTCCAGGCTACATACACTACAAAGGGCAGCAAATGTTACATATTAAATGTTTCTCTTTAGGCAGATGGAACCAGCATTCCCCATAATAACATGAGGTCATGTGGTCAATAAACACCGTTGTTTAATAAACCAAGCCCCTGGGACCCTAACAAGTTGACACAATAAATACCATCGGTGAGCATTCCAGCATAGCTATAGTGTTTTTCAGTGCATCCTACAGACCACTGATTTAACCATTTTATAAAGCAAGAAAATTAGGATTTTCCTTTCTGTCTTCTTTAATACACACTAATGTCTCATGGATCCAACACTGGGTACTGGATCGCATTTCCCAAAATGTACCTCTTGAACTGGCCCAGACATCCTCAGCTTAATTATTTTACTATAAATCCTCCTAAAATGTATGGCACATATCCCCATCTTAGTAAAACCAGGCTCATGAACACAATTTAATCCGACACTGGTCTTTTCTGATCCAGTGATGCTCTTGGGTGTCATTGACTTTTATAGTATGTTTTACCCTTACCAAATGGTGCCAGGCCACCCTGCTTCCTTCACTAGGAGCTATAATATTGTGGACTAAAATGATCCAGTCTTGGGGGGCACCTGGGTGGCTCAGTGGGTTAAAGCCTCTGCCTTCAGCTCAGGTCATGATCCCAGGGTCCTGGCATGGAGCCCTGCATTGGGCTCTCTGCTCAGCGGGAAGCCTGCTTCCCTTCCTCTCTCTCTGCCTACTTGTGATCTCTGTCTGTCAAATAAATAAATAAAAATCTTTAAAAAGAAATAATAAAAAAAAAATAAAACGATCCAGTCTGGTCTGGAGTATCAAAAGGCTCCTGGGTCCCAAACCTACTAGTGTAATGCAAACCTCCAAAATTTATAATAACCAATCTTAATATATTTGTATATTTGCAAGTGTGAACATGGTATGTCATATAATTAAATAAAAGACATTCTAAAAAGAAATGCCGTTTCTCTTTCAACCCAAATTTTCTTATTGCATATAACTTTCTTGAATGCACCAATGTAGAAAGAACACAGGTCCTAAAGGCTAGGTCTAAAAACAGTAAAAGAGGCTTGTACCTCTAAAACAATCCTTAGCCTCTGAAACTTGCACCAGTTAGGAAGTTGATTATCGAAGATGTACATCCCAAAAGGATGGCACCCTATCCAACACCCACATAAGAAGTGGTCATAAAGGGTAAGGGAGCGGGAAGAACCTGTTGTAGAGAGCAACAGATGAGGGAGGGCCTCCCAGAGAGCATAAAGGGTGTTAATGACGAGATCCTCCCACCTCTCAATGCTATGTGTCTCTTAATTAGGGCTTTTATTGCAGTGTGATGACACTTTTGTAGAGGGACAGAAAACTCTCATTTTCAGCAGAACTGGGAGAGGAATTTTATCCGTGGCTTCCCCCATATGTGTAAGGATTACCAAGAGAGTTGGACTGATGCCACATGGGGAAAAAATAAAAAGAAGAAGCCCAGAGAAGGAAGAGAGAGCCCATCGGTGGGAAACCCCTGAAAGTGCCAGCAAAAATCCAATATGAAGGAGAGGGTCTCATTCTGAACTTCAAAAGAGCGATCCTTGTTTGCACCAAGTGTAGAAAACAAGGTGAAGAGAGAGAGCAGCAGAAGCCCCCTTGAACTTGATCTGGTTCCCAAAAAATTAGGACTAAACAGAGAATAACATAGATGGGTCACTTTTGCAGGAAACCCTCTCTCTCTTTGGCAGCAGAAAAGAGAAGAGTTAGGGATGCGCTACCTGGAAGGTTACCATACCTCTCCTGGCTCTCCTCCCTCCCAGCCCAGAATCACATAGCAGATAGCTGGATTAGGAATATCCAGTTTACCGGGCATCAAGTATTTAAAAGGAAAATCTGCCCAGCATAAATATAAAACTTTTATTGCTTTTCATTTTTAATGTGGAAAGAACAAAACACTTACCAGTGGATGAAAGACACTCAGCAGAAAAATACAGACCCAACCAGACAAAAAGTGTGACCAACTATGAAGTAATCACCCACAAGAAAAACCACAAAGCAGAAAAGCAAGAAATCAGGAAAGAATCAGAAAGATAACAAGGGAAAATGGAATGTGAGCTAATGGAATTCAGGAAAGAAACAGGAAGGGGAAAAAGTCCCCTTATGATCACAAAAAGGAAAATAAAATTGGAAGGAACATGTGGCAAAATAGACACTGTGCAAAAACAGGGAAGGAATAGAGAAGATAAAGTGAACAAAACAGAAACCACATTTCATGAGTTAAAGAGGAGTAGGACAGACACAGACGACAAGCAAAGTGACAATATACGTACAATCAGAATCCCCAAAGAAAAGAACTGAAACCACATGGCAGAGAACATGTTTAAGGATGACAATCAAGACCACTTTCCTGAATGGGAGGAAGATGGGGGGGTGGGATAACTGGGTGATGGACGTTAAGGAGAGCATAGGATATAGTGAACACTGGGTGTTATATAAGGCTGATGAATCACTGACCTTTACCTCTGAAACTAATAATACACTATATGTTACTTAATTGAATTCAAATTTTAAAAAATAGAGAACTTAAAAAGAACACTTTGCCAAAATAAAAGGGACAAAACCTAATTAGAATCATCAGATGGAAGATAAATAACCTTTTGAATAGCTAAGGGTCAAATCATTTATAAAAGGGGGAAAAATTGGGCTGGCATCAGGTGTCTCCACATCAGCACAGTTATCAGAAAAGAGTGGGTTATCACCCAAAAGATCCACAAAAAAGAAAATGTGAGCCAAGAATTTCATTTCCAGCCATACTGCCCCAGGAGGGTAAGGCTGCCATTTTGAGCAACACAAAATATGTCGGGGAATATTGCTTCCATGAGTCATTCTTAATGCAACTGTTTGAAAATGAGTTTCAGCTGAGCAAGTGATGATGGGGAAAGCCACGTAAGGACTAGAGAGGAACACTGACAAAACATATGCGTAACTGTGACTTGAAAATAAGTGTGAGTATCAGGGTAATGGAACAGGATGTAAATCATATACCGTGACGTTATAGAATGATACAGTCAGTGAGTAATAATCAGCAGCCCAAGAGTAAAAGAAGTTAAGATGCTGAGTAAGTTCACTGACTGCATTATACATAATAACTGAGAGCCAAGAGTCACCATTTGAATTGAGCAAATTATTGAAGAGAACCGTAAACATATTTAATAACTTAAAAGTAAACATTAAAAGGATACTGTCAACTAAAATTGTGTGCAGAGAAGAAAAAGACATCATTGCCTAGGATAGGGAACTAACAAAATACTGCTTAAAGAAGAGAAACCCTGTTCTGTATGATTATAAAGTTAACCCTCATACAAAATTATAAAACTCCACAAGAATCAGAAAAAAAAAAAACCACACACACAGATATAGTAAGACAAAAATCCATGCAAGAAAGAGGTAAGTGTAGATCACCACCGGATGAGTTATAAAGAGCATTTACCTAGTCAAAATCATGCAAATTCTCACAGCTGATTTAATTAAACTATATTGGGAAGATGGACAGGAAGAGAATCCTTCTACAGTGGGACAGGGAAGGAGAAAGAGTCACCCCCCCTTATCTGCAGGGGATATGTCCCAAGACCCCCAGTGGAGCCTGAAACCATGGACATATACACTATGTTTTTCCTATACATACATCCCTATGATAAAATTTAATTTATATATTAGGCACAGGAAGAGACTAACAACAATAGCTAATAATAAAATAGAATAATTTTAACAATAGACTTTCATAAAAGTTTTGTGAATGTGGTCTCTCAAAATATCGTATAGTATGTATTCTCCCTTCCTCTTCTTGTGACGCCGTGAGATGATAAAATGCCCACGTGTTGAGATGAAGTGAGCTGAATGACACGGGCATTGTGGCATGATGTGAGGTCACTACAGACCTACTGATGCAGCATCAGAAGGAAAATCATCCACTTCTGAAACAGGTGACCCAGGGCAAATGAAACCTCAAAAAGCAAAAGCATCGATGAGGGGACCACGGTAATTTCTCCCCTCCCACAGCTAGAGGTCAAGAAACAACCTCTAACACTGAAAATTCAGGAAGTGGCAATACAAACATGGTAGTTAAAGACAAGGAGATGAATATGAAAATAATCAACCAAAAGAGATGAGAGCATTGCCACAGGGGAGGTGAGGACGGGCAGAGGGGCAGAGACGGCTGTGTTTCATTAAACTTTGTAGAACGTTGGAGTTCTTTCATAGGCAACCTTAGTAAAAAGGACACATTTTTTAAAGGAATTTGAGCTCCACTGACCAGTCCATATTTTGATTTTCCACTCTGATCATTTCATCAGGTCCAGTCAAACTAAAGGCTCTCTAGCTCTCATTTTAAAAAATGTAATTCTTAGTCTGCTTTGACTTTTATAGAAAGCCACTACAACCCCTGCATTTCTCCGACAGTGTGTCATGTGACACATGTGAGCCTCCTGTGACCCTCAAGTTGCCAGGGTTATAGGACCAAACATTGACCAAGTGCCATTTCTCAGGCTGGCCCCCAGACAAAAAGATGTTAGCCAACAAAGGGATACCTATGGTGGTGATGACAGTCCCAGCAAAGAAAAAGGCACTTCCAAGGTCCCAGTGACTGCTGTTGTTGGAAGAGTTTCCTATTGGACTTACTCCTGCGTTGTCAGCGTCAAGGGCATGCTGCAAAGAGAGCGAGAAAGCACAAGATTCAAAATTAAAAGATTAAAGATCCAAGATTCAAGATTCAAGACTAAAAGTTTTTAAAAAATTTTAAAAAGCTCTCAAATTCTTTCCTTGCACAAGAAACTGAAATGATCGGGCACCTGAATGGCTCAGGTGGTTGAGTATCTGGTTTCAGCTCGGGTCACGATCTCAGGTTCATGAGATGGAGCCCCAAGTTGGACTCCGCACTGAACAGGGAATCTGTTTGAGACTCTCTCTACATCTCCCTCTGCCCCTCGCCCATACACACACCCCTCCCCCACCACTCTCACACATGCTCTCTCTCTAAGTAAATAAATCTTAAAAAAAAAAAAAAGAAACAAATGATCTATAGGGTACTGGTTATATGAAGATGGGTGCAGTCATAACATGAAATACTAAACACACACTTACTAAAACTAGAAAATTACTTTTAGGTGGGAAAAAAAATACTAGGCTATATAGTATGGTGCCATTTATGTAAAATTTGCAGGCACAGGATTTAGGCAATCTGGGCATGGGTTATGCAAAATACATACATATCACTGTGTATATAGAAAGATGTCTAGAAAGATTGTCACCCAAAATGTCATTCCTGGAAGGCAGGATTTCAGTTGATTTTCATTCTTCCCTTTTCTGTTTTGTTAAAATGTTTTATGCTGAGCTTGCTTCAGGATGGCAGGAGGTGAGAGCCTGGGCTCTTAAATCAAGCCAGCAAGGCTCTGCCCATTATTAACTTCAGAACCATGGACAAGTTATTTTAACCTCTGTAAATGCAAATGTCCTTATTTGCAAACGGGGAATAATAATGCCTTTGTCCACAGAGTTGTGAGGATTCAGTGAGAAGGTCTGTGTAATGCACTCAGCCCAGGGCCCAGCACCGAGATAGGGGGTAACAAATAGTAGACAATTTTGTGACTGCCATTTGACTACCTGCCTGCCCCCAACGTGCAGCATGTGTGTGTGTGTGTGTGTGTGTGTGTGTGTGTGTGTGAGCGCGCATACACACACACTCCTTTTAAAATAAGTGACAGTGACTCCTCACTGGCTGCAGGGTTTGGAATTCTATACACCTTAAATCCACATAAATTGACCACACTGAGGATCCAAGCTCATCTCACACTACTAGAAAAGTTCCAACCCAAGGCAGGTCAACTCCATGAGACATCCCCTTATACCTCTGGATCTTTGCTTATGCCCTCCTGCAATCGTACCTGTCCTGTAGAGTCCAGTCTGGGCCCCACTTCTTGCAGGAGGCTCCATGCATGTACCACAGTCCCCACAGATACCCACTTCCCAGGGCTCATACTCCTGCACCACATATATTTAACTGGCTTTTGATCACAGGCTCCCCAGCTGAAAATCCTTGCCTAGACCCCACATGTGCAGAATAACGTGCAAAATACATCCGCAGCCCTTCCTGGGCTGGCCTCTGCCAGCCCCTTTTAGGCCGGGGGAGAGGGTAGAAGAACCTTCAAGCAAGGGAGCTGTGGTGAGGAAGTGACAGGTGGGGCCTTCAGAGGGAGGTGACAAACATGAGCTACTTTTGGAACAACAAATAGAGAGAGTGTTCCCTGAACAAATTTGGAATAACCCCATGTGGAGATAACAGGTCACAGTTAAATATTGAAATGCAATTCAGTTTATCCTAAATAATACCCACAGAGCTTTGTTCAAACAGGCAAAGAGCGTCTGCCACAAATTAGACTAACTGAAAAAGCCAATCATCATTACCTTTCACCTTCACGAATCTGAGATATTTCTAACTTTCTAGACCAGGTATCAGCAACCTTTTCCTCTTTTTTTTTTTTTTCCCTTTGCCTATTTTTCTTTTCCTTTAGCAATGCTTTAAATATGCAAACATCATTCTGAGCTCATGGGTGTTACAAAAGCAGGCCCCAGGCTAGATCTGGCAGACCCCTAGACAACTGATTGGACAATAGGGAAATAAAAATCTCTTTTGTTGAAGTGTATTCTTTCCTGGTCCTAAGAACATGAGACGGTCCACTGGAGGCTGTTTCTAGTATAAACCCTGACACCCCAGGATTTAAAATCCGGCCTCGCGGGATGCACACGGGTTCTCCTAGCCCATGTTTAACAGACCTAATTGACAACTATCACTTACCCATCAGAGGCTCTGCTCTGCTTTAGAGAAAGACAGATGGCAAAATATCCATCTTCTCCTGGTAAATACTTCTGCTAGTAAAATACCCATTTTCACTGTGTTGTGTGAGTGCCATCAGACCAAATCACAGGCCTTAACTAGTGTTTATGTGCTCATTACCTGCTCAGCTGTGCCAGGCCCACCTGCAAGGAAAACCCTGGGGACAGCTCTAGGCACGCTATCGATAACCTAATATTTACAACATCTATGAAGCTGCATAGAGAGTTGGGCTTCAGTCAAGACTCCTGTGCTGAGAAATGTACCTAAATGTCATAAGTCGCACATAAAAGTACAGATTTACAGCAGAGACAAGTGGGGATGATTATTTGTTTCATCAAAAAAGCCGGAGGAACATGCCTTTTTAAGTTTCATTTTTTGAATTATGCAATTTATAAATATTTAATGTTTACATATGTAGCCCTCAAGGAAAGCATGTGTTGGTTAAAAGGGAGGGAAACTACCATTTGTTGAGTTCCTGCGTGCAGACAGGTGCCTTAGAAGTCTTATTCCATTTTATCCTTCCTGCAACTTGTGTGTTATCCAATTTTAGCCTTTCTACAACTTGCAAGAAAGTAATATTATCCCCACATTTGAGATAGGGAACCAGGCTCAGCAAAGTTAAGTAACTTGCCCTAGGCCACACAGCAGGGAAGTGAAGCTAGAATTCAAATCCAGACTTGGCCCAAGTCATAGTTTTGACCTCTCCTCTCGGTGTGGCCTTCCTCTCTCCCCACCTCTGTGCTCCTCTCCAGACAGAAACGAGGAGGAAGACCGCGACTGCCCGAGAATTTAGGCAGAAGCACCTCTCAAAGGATCATTTCTAATTAGACCACATGTAAAGGCAGGCACCCACCTTCATTTGGCTGCTGCAGCTGGAGAGAGCTTAACTGTTCTACATTTAAAATAAAATTTAAAAAATAAATAAACATGGGGAACAAGTGATGTTATACCCTGAGAGGGAAGAAACAGAGAACAGAGAATGAAAGCCCTGAAAAAGCAGGAAGACAAGGAAGTAAAGGTGAGAAAGGAGTGTCCATGGATGCGTGGGAGCTCGGGCTCAGCGGCAGCAAAGCCTGCGATGTTGAAAGGCGGGTCCACCCGGCATCCAACTTTAACTTTGCTTAGATCTCTGATATCAATCCCTCTCTCACTTTCCCAAATCTACAATAGAGTGGGCTACACGCGCAAATACCTTCAGGAAGTGCTTTTGTGGAAATTAAATATAAAGGCTGTTTACGGGCACGATGGGACCAAAACAAAGTTTGGAATCCGAAACAAGGAGAAAAAGAAACTCTCCAAAAAGTCATCAAGACCTTGGTGAAGCTTTGGACAATCTCCAGTCCTGGGAATAAGGTTTGATTATTCTGTCTGGATTGGGTGGGTCAGAAAGACTCCGGCAAACCACCAGAATTAAAATAAAATGGCACGCATGAGCTAATACACACAGAAAGAGAACCCAGGTTAAACAGTCTAGCACTTGGAATTAATGGCATCATTTTTAACTCAGAATATTTCTGATGGAGTTCAGAGTTCCAACTTTATTAATTTTTTAAAGTATTTTCTAATCATTTTAATAGTTTGAACTCAAGTAAAACATTTTAAAATTAAATGCCCTTGCTCTCGTGTTTTCTTCTCTGCATTCAGGCTGCACAAGTGAAGACAAGCCAGCCCATTAGAAATGTCTGAGCACATAGATAATGAAATGATGCATCTGAGCTGTGTACTACTTCACTTAAAAGATCAGTTATAGGGGAGAGATGTGACCAACAGCAGCATCATGTTGGGCCACAATCTCAGACCCGATGAGCATCATGTGTACACTTAGAAGCTCAACGAGTATCAAGTTCAGAAAACCCTTATGAGGACCCAAAAAGAAATTATTCTCGATATGATGTGAGAGCTTCAGGGAAAGGGCACTCTGGATAAGAGGGCATTACTTTAAAATTTAATTCCAATCACTCTTTAATTTCCTTTATAGCCTCTGAGTTGGAATTTCCAGCACCCACCCAGCTACCCAGTAAACAACTCATGAGTGAATGCTCAGATCATTAATAAGTGAATGAACAAACAAAAGTAATAAATTTAGGCCATGCAATTTACTTCTTTGTAAAAGCAGAGAAATGTAATAAGAAAGTAGACCCACAAAAGAAATATAATGATTGTTTTTAAAAAGAAAAAGAAGAAGAAGAAGGAGGAGGAGGAGGAGGAGGGGAAGGAGGAGGAGGAGGTGGGGAGCTAACATGAATGGGGCAAGAACTAAAAGAATAGAGTGGTGGCTGCCCAGGGGCTGGGTGGTGGGCGAAATGGGTGATGTTGGTCAAAGGGGACAAACTTTCCCTTATAAGATGATTAAGTTCTGAAGACCCAATATACAGCATTGTGATCACAGCTAGTGATACTTACTGCATTATACCTTGAAAGTTGCTAAGAGAGCAGATCTCAAGTACTCTCACCAAAAAAAAAAAAAAAAAAGAAAGAAAAAAAAAAGAAATGGCAATTATGTAACATGATGAAGATATAATGTAATTCCATGGTAGTAATCATCTTGCAATATACAAATGTAAACCACCATACTGTACACCTTAAGCTAACATATTATATATCAATCATATCTCAATACAACTGGAGAACAACTAGATAAAAGAGTCTGTCCCCCTCCCCCATCCTCCCACCACCACCCCCAGGAGTCAAGACCACCCAAAAGGAGTAACAAAGAAACCGCAGCCCCTCTGAAAGTGAGGTGGGTCTGAGGCTGATGGAAGAGGAGGCAAAGGTATCCTTTGGAGACCCCCCACCACCGGGTACCCCCACGAAC